GGTGTGATCTTGGATATCACAAATCCCAATCCGGATCATCCCAAAGGAACTTACCCTTAGGCTGTATTACATCTCCGCTGAAACACCAACATAACTCACGGACATTAGTGGTCAGATCAAAAACCGCGAAAACATGAACTCATAAGTAACTATAGCTTAAAATATACATTTTTCCGCACACTCGACCTAAAACTGAAAAAAAGACTGTTATTTGATGTTAACTTAATTGGAGGTCACGATTCTTCTTTTCAATTTCGTTCACTGAAAACAAATATGCTTACACAAAGTTGATTTATTTTTATCACTGTTACCAAGCGCAGTTTAGATAAACAAACGATATAGCACAATATCTTTTTTTCTCCAAAGAGTTAAACAATAACCGACCACAAATTTTTCCTGTAAGATGATGTATTTTTTTGAGAATTAAGCGAAGTTGCTTCTAGAAATACTCTATTTTCCTGATACAGTGTCAGGAGAAACGAATTCAGATATAAATAAACGCAAAATGGCAATTTTATTTCGAGTAAGCTAGGGATTTGACGAACAATATCTTGACGCGTAAACAACATTCACTGATATAACGCCAAGGTTGCTCAAACATAACTAAAAGTGCTACTGTACGAGAGCTTGGAAGAATACTCGATTGAATTCTATAAATTTGAAACACTTTCAGAGTTTATTTTTGATTTAGTAAGAAATTTAAGCTTCAAGGCTGAAACTTTATCCGTTCACCACGGTTCTGTGGCAAAGCTTGTGTTTAGTCGCGTGTCACTGAATATGAATGACGTAAACAAAGAAGTCTAAAGTCACGACAATAGATAAAATTAATTCAATTTACTGTCGATTATTTTCAATTGTTTACTTATCACAATTCTTTCTCATTTTATTAGGCTTGCTCTGACTGTAATTTTCGTGTTGTCTCCGCTAACAGAATTCTTTTTCAGTTTTACTACGTCCAACATTGCGGTCACATGTAGTTACCTTTCGCTTTTTATAGCCTCGAAGAAGGGCAATCAAGTGTCAGATTTACATAGCAATACCAGCCTTGAAAAATATTATGACTTTGCAGTGTTTACAGTAGAAATTGAAACTTTCTCGCCTTTAATTACGCTGATAGACAAAAATCAAACACAAAGTTTTCCTTGTGGTTCCACAAAGCTTAAACCACTGAACCGTTTTTAACCAAAAAAATTCTTACTCATTATAACTTTTTTATTTTCTCCGTAGACTTCAGATTTTTAGCCTTCGGTTTTTTGGCCGCAATGATTGTGTAAGTCTATTTATCAGTCTAGATGTATCGTACCAGAGATCGTAGTGAAAAAAAAAAAACGGGAGAGAACGTAATTCAAACGACCAAAACCCTTCCAGTCGAAACTGTGAAGTGTTACTGTATATTAAACCTTGGTTGAGACGAAACAGCGAGGATAGAATTATAAGCGTTAGCACATATTTACGAAGTTTCGAATCGTGATGCAACAAGTGTTTCCTGAATGAAACCCTGTGAATAATTAAGATTACAAAGCCGAAATTCTCTAATTGTTAATGAATTGAAAATAATTCAATATAGCAGTTCAATTTCGGCTTGACTTTGCATGTTACGCAATGTGAGAAGTTTGCCTTCACGGCCGATTAACACGTAACATCCGGTACTTTGATCATAATAAACCTAAACATTTCACTGATGTATTTCTCATGCTTACCTAGAGCCAGAGGAAGAAGAAAAACAAATAAAGCTACCCGAATGTGTATCTTCAAATGTAGCTCCGACATGTTGCCGTTGTTAGTTCATCTGAACAACATGGAACTTCGGAATATTGGCCCCACTACTTATGATTTCCGGGTCAGATATGTGACGTTCGTGAAAACGGACAACTTACTGCGCCCTCTGCTGATTCGTGAGTCGGCGTGAGATATCTGATTCAACGATGCTTTGAAAAATCACGCTAACTTTTACTCTAAAGCAAAGTTGGTTCAGGCGGTGTAGCACTTAAATTGCGTTGCATTGTAGTAGTGTTGTTTTCAATGTGGCGGTAAAAGGGGCAGAAATCGGCAGACTTTGACAGATTTTTACGATTATATTCACGCTTCGTCACTGCCACCAAAGCACAGACGGTCCAAGCTCACGTAGCAAGGAAATGCAAACGATTAATTCATGAAAGCGTCACGCGTTGTGTGACTCGGTGTTGAGTTAGAGAGGAACCGTTGAAAATTTGAACACGTTATGAGGACTCAGCAGCTAGCTGGTAATAGAGCCTGGTTAAATTAAGGAAATTCGAACAAAAGTCCTCTATAGGACTGCAATTTTGCAGTCGCAAAAAGCTATAGCTCTGGAAAGTTTCATCAAAAATCCCTAATCTAACATTTGCATTTGCGAACTAAGACCTGAAAGTTTGGAGATTCTATTGGAATGTTGAATCAATCAGTCACCTGTGGCCTGTAACTTGGTCAACAACTTCGAAGTGGTGTTGATAAAGAAACTCTGGCTATGTTCCGTGCTTAGCCGTACCCTACGTGTAGTCGTACCCGCCCCTACCCCCCACCTTGGGAGAGGGGGAGGGTACGGCCACACGTAGACTACCTAGGGGTCCCTGCGATATTTCAATTGATTTGACACGCATTCCTCTGTATAACATTTGCGTTTAGCGCCTATTCGAGATAAGTGGAGGCGCGCAATTGCGCTTAGATCGAAGTGAAACCGGTCAAATAGATCAAATAGGATAAACCGCAAACCGCGTCGGATACTTAATCCGAAAACCCGTTAGTGTTTTTCGCGAAAACCAAATGCTAAAAAACAGAATATCTGCATACCGCAATGAACGCCAAAACCGCAAAACCGAAAATCGCAATGCCCCCCTCAGATATGGTCGATTTACCACGACAAGTATTTCAAAATATGAACATTTTACACATAAAATCAATAAAACTTACTCACATTCTGTGTGTCCGTTGTAGTTTCTGGCGATTTCCGCCGTTTTAAGCTTGCTTTACCATTGTTGTTATTCCTGTCAAAAGACGAAGTCAAGGCTGCACACTTCGATTTCGACCGTTGTCCATGCGGAGGTGGTTTGCGCCCCGAAAATCCTCCCGATCGGCATTTTTCTTAGTCATACTTTACGATTTAAGATCATTGTCTCTGTGGGGATGGGGTAAGTATTGTATATTAATCGATCGAACCACTCGCGGTAGAGAGAAAATTGACCTCGTACCCAAGTCTTCCGCGGCCGTGTCCAGTCTGATTGTTCAAAGCATAGCCTTAGAAATGCACGTAGAAAACGCTCGTTTCCAGCGAAATGCGCGGGAAGTTTTGGAATTGAGACATGTCCCAGGATGTCCCAGCTTTTGAATTTTCAGCTCCACTTATACTTCCCACCTTCAGAGGCCGAAAGAAAACGTTTTTTCTTTTATTTGACCAAACTGACTTCAGACATTTTACTTAACGTTTCCAAGAAAAAAGTCTTAAATCCTCCAAAAGCACCAGAGTTATTAGAAAAACCTAATTTCAAATAAAAGTTAATAAATCAGGAAGGTGTCATAAGAATCCCTGGGAGAATTTTCACGACAACGGCTCATATTGGGGCTCGTTTTTCATGTTATTTGCATATTTTGTTTACATCGCGCGCTTGACAAAATTTTCACGTGGAAGCTCTTTGCTTATGGGAAAATCGAAAGCAGAAGAAAAGTCCAGCTCTGACTTGGTGTAGAAGACACAGTATACGTCACACTATTATTTCATTGTTTTCTCATTTCCGGTGGTGATTAAGTTCTATTGTGACGTATAATGTGTCTTCTCCACCAAGTAAGAGCTGAAAGTCCTTGGTAAAAGAAAAAAAAACCAGACCCTGAGAAGAAAGAAGGAGTACCATTCTGTCTGGATAAGAAAAACGTCTTTGGTGAAAGCGACTGGTACTGGCGGACAAATAAGTCGTGTAAAACAATATTTGTCATACATTAAGTTAAAAAAGAGGTTTACTGTTATTTATGCAAGTACCAGCCTTGATACAAAAACCGATTTACAATCGCCTCGAATCGTAATTTTGAAAGCTGACCGTCGATTCGTTGTCTTGCTTCTCAGCACATTTTCCGGTTTTTCCATTTTGCCGCGGGTTTTTCCTTTGCCTTTGGCAACTTTGCTCGTTATTGTGTCGTCCTCCTCGCTCCACTGAGCGAATAAAAAAAAAGGTGTCTGCCATGGGTTACTTTTCCCGAGAATATTAATACATCGTCATTGACGCCATTAAGGCCCTTTGTCCCATTGGTTTGCAGTTTCGGGAGGCGAAAAAATCTCCTGGCGCGGGTTGTTTACGAACCTTTATGAGCTAAAATTAAGAGGAATACATTCGCTCTAGAGCGAATTGATAGGTTTAAGAAAAAAATTTTATGATTGCATGTTGCGCGATTTTTCATATTTTAAACACCTTTTTGAATTAATCTGGTGCAAGGCGGGTCCTGCACGCGCGGAAGCCTCCATATGTAGATTTACGAATGAACCTTCTTTTTTACTACAGAGCTTGCACAGTAAAATACTTACCGACTGTAATAAAATTTGAGCCTAGAAAATATCAAGTAAAGTTAGTCGAGAAGTATAAACTTGTGTAACAAGTATATTCATGCAGAACATTTCAAAAGATCTAAACAAAGAAAGTGTTCATATCACAAATAAGGATCTGGACTATGACGACATACTTTATGGAGGCTGGACAAAATTCTCTATGGAAGAAAACGTCCTCCCTGTCAACATCGTGATATGACTGAACAGACTGACCACAAACATCAGTAAAGATATGTTGTTTGCTGGGCAAGAGGTCCGTTTGGCGAAAAAACCTTTTGCCCACGACGTAATGTACTCAAGACTTCAGGCATAGTTTCCGCCATACGAACCGACTTAGGGCTTGCAGCAAATTGCCTTATAGATATGTTTTCGAACAAACAACTGTGCCTATGAACCAATGGTTAACAATGCCTGAGTGAAAGACTAAACTAGACAACAGAGCATCCTTAAATTGACTTCATCATCAATTTCCTTTATTTTTCTTTCGAATAAAGACATTGCACCCAACTATATCAAGATAACGTTTGTTTCCTAGTTATTGGGACAAATTAGAGAAGTTCACCCACACCACGAACCAATAAGATTGTAGGATCACTTAAATTTGTGTTGGAAAATTTGATGTAAAATCTAAACTTTAATTTCAGACGATACCACCTGACTCAACATTTTCATAAACTCTAACATCATCATTCCCTGATTTTTCCCCCACAAATCCTACATTGCTGTAATAATGAGTCGAGTATCTGCTTTGCAATGGCTCATACGTAGGTTCAGGTGACTGCATTTGAGGAGGCCTGAGTTCCATATAGTGACCAGACTCTGGCTCTTGCCGTTCAGCAGGTGAGACAGGGATATCATGGTCTGTAACAATGTTTCTACCGGTCCTCACAGCTTGTCTTAACCGTCTTATTAGTGCGCCAATTATGATGAGGAAGACCAAAACAATTCCGGCGAGAGCATAGACAGCATAGTGATAGAGTTGTTGTTTTCCTATCAAATGAATGGAATCAGTTTTTTATAGCTGTGAAGCTGCCGTGATCTGTGATCTCCTTTCTGTTAAAGAGATTCAAGTTCTCCAGTATTGCTATTTTCAGATTTCCTATAGTACCTCTGAATAGATAGAGTTTTAAAACATATAAATATCATAACAACTTGTGCTCTAATCCTACCATAGTCCTCGGTTGTCATAATGTCAACATCAGCGGGCGTGGTGGTTTCTGCAGTGGTGGATGTTCTGGTAGTGGTATAGGAGATGGTAGTCACTGTAAAATTGATCAATATCAATTTGATTTTCAACTAAATCGATCAATTTCGCCAAAGTATATTAAAAAATGGCAATTAATGAAATAACCCCAGAGTTAAAACATAATAATATCATAACAACTTGTGCTCTAATCCTACCATAGTCCTCGGTTGTGATGATGTCAACATCAGCGGGCGTGGTGGTTTCTGCAGTGGTGGATGTTCTAGTAGTGGTATAGGAGACGGTAGTCACTGTAAAATTGACCAATATCAATTTGATTTTCGACTTAATCGATCAATTTCGCCAAAGTATACTAAAAAATGGCAATTAATGGAATAACCCCAGGGTCACCCATGTCGACTTGAAAGTGTAGCACCAAGTTTTTTCTGTTCCCTAGAATACCTGACACAAACCAAGCCAATGGGAAGGTTACTCCAGTTATCCTCTTCCCTACCTGCTACTAGGATATTCCCAGGGTAAAGGGGTTAAGTTTCTAAAGAAACTGTGGTGCTGCATCGATGGAAGAGCATAACGGGGTAATTTAGTATTATCAACTAGCTGATAACGCAAATTGGCCACCGTAAAAAGTTTTAAGCAAACGTTTCGAGCGATTGCTCTGTTTCGTTCTGACAAATGGCTAACACTCGAAACGTCAGCTTTGAAACCCTTTACGGTGGCCAATTTACGTTATCAACTCGGTTGATAAAACTAAATTCCCCCATCCTTAGAGTATCTCTGCTAGTTTTTCTCTCCCGTGTCAATAAATTTCTTGGCATGGAATATATATATAGCTGGGAGAGCTGCAGCGTTCTCCTTTCTGCTTAAGAGATTCCAGACAGGTAGAGTTTTAAAGCAAATGTTTTATGGACATTGGTGCTCTAATCCTACCAGAGTTCTTTGTTGATTTAGTGGTTTCCGCTGTGATAGATTCTGTGGTAGCGGCGGATGCTATTTTAGCAGTAGTAGAAGCAGTTGGTATGGTGGTTTCTGCTGTGGTGGATGTTCTACCAGTTGTATATGAGACGGTAGTCCCTGTGGAATTGATCAATATCAATTTCATTGTCAAATAGGTCGACCACTTTTGCTGAAAAAAAAGGTAATGAATCAAATAACCCTACGTTAAAATTTGTTATATGTGTTGTATTAGATCTCATACCAGGTCCTATTAATGTGACATTTTTTCCCACTTTCACAGAAGCAATTCTTTTTTACAATCTGTTTACTTTTAGTATGTGAATTATTCATTTTAGAGCAGAGACTATGATAAGTGTATCTGGGCATAGCCTAAGTCAATGCGGTACGCGGCTCAATTTGCCAAAGTATGAATTTGATGCGAGAATATGCTACAGAGGAAGACCTTCCCTCTAGGTAAATGATTCAATCATTTACAACTAATCATTCACGTTCAATTGATGTTGTTTTTAATTTGGAGTTTCCTTTAAAGTAAACTAGTCACCTTTTCCTGGCTCCATTCCAAAAATCTTTGTGGTCATACACACTTTGCCTTGACCTGCTTTGGGCCAGAATCGCAGATACCTTGCGTTGTGGTGGACTTTAAGCACCGAGCCTGAGTTCCTGAATTTCTTTCAAAATCAAAAGCCCCAATTTATAGAACACATCTCATTCACTGAATAGTACAATGATGAGACCCAGAAATGAATAAATTTACTTAAATGAACCCCCCTTACTCCTTATAACTTAGACACTTTGCTTTCCTTAAGCATTTTATTAGCTCACAGATGGCTGTGACTTAGGCTAAAGCATGCACAAAAAACCGAGCATCGGTGTGTACAGATCTCAATTTTAAAAAGAATCTTAAAGTTATTCATTTGATAATAAAAGAACAATGGCAATTTTTCAATTTCATTATAAGCGTTTCAAGGAAACTAAGCCGATGTACATAGGGTTATCAATAAGTGAAACGTTTAAACGTTTGCCTCACGATGGAGAGTCAGGCTATCAAATGTATATAGTTAACATAGAGTTATCACCATATATTTTTTGGTTGTCCAATTTGTCCCATCGACGGATAGTTCTATTGTACAGTTCTTCACACCCTCGTTCGAACCCCCATAAATGGACACAAAACAACGGCAGATGAAATGACGTGTCTGTAGATCAATCTGTAGATATGAGTTAGTGTTTTCTTTTCCTTCACACCGTGATGAACTCGACGTGTTGCTGGTCACTGGGTCATTCGTGCCGCTTGGAAATAATCCATTGTCGTTTTTAAGACTTCTGCAGTTAGCTTCAGGCAAAGACAGAATAAAAACAATTTTTGAAAAATTGTACGTACTGAAACTGAGGTATTCCAGTCAATGAAAATCAGACAGAAGTAGAAATAAAACATTAGATACCAACACTTTCAACTACCGAGGGTACCTTTCTCTCAAAAGAGATGATTTCTTCATATTTAAATTCGCTAAAAAACCTGATTTCTTCATTTGTAAACGGGATTCCAGATACTTCACTCCAAACTTTGGATTCCAGATACTGGAATTTTGACATCACGAGACATAAGAGTCAAATGCAAAATCTTAATGTTAATCATCGTAAAAGTACTTCAAGTTTGCATACTTGTATACACGTAAATACAATTACGCTGTCATAGAAAAGATAAAAAAATGAAAACCGAAACAGGAAAAAGTCAAATAGGAGCTTATTAGCATATAACAACCCTCTGGCTATATACCCACTGCCGAACAATTTTCACAGAATTTTCCCTTAATATTCCTTCATACTTCTTGAGAGTATCTGACGATTCCAAAAATTGAAATCAAAATTTGTATGCTTTTCCATAGACGAATAAATTCGAATTTAGCTTTTTCGCCTTTCTCTTTTGGTATTTTTAACACAACGTAACACTGCAGTTAGTTTTAAATACCAACGTTGGAAAAGATTCATATCAGAGATCAAGATGTTTATGAAATTCCTACCAAGGAAAGTGACGGTTGTTAACGGTTTTATATTCCAAGAGTTGGATATTAAACTTATACTTCTCCTGACCGTTCCATAAAGGCGCCGAAATCGAACTCACTATTGACATTTTACTTAGATGATATATTCACATCAAGTGTTTTTCACTGATTTAGGAGATAAAACGCCTTTCTACAAGTTTGGACAAGCAGTAGGGGTTTTTGAAAACCGTTTAATTAATTTGTATCTATCGTATAACAGACACGACACGATCATCACCCACCTTGAAACGAAGAGAATTTGAGCATCTGAATCTTAAGCACGATTTT